TATGGAAAATACTAGCGAAGGATCCGGAGAAGAACCCGAACCCCGACGTAGCAAACGTGCTAGAGTAGAAAAATCCTTCGGACCGGATTTTCTCACATACCTGGTAGAATTCGATTCGAATATTCTAACTTGTATGGTAGAAAATGAACCGGATTTTCTAACATGTTTGGTAGAAAATGAGCCACGGACTTATACGGAAGCCGTAACGTCTACCGAAGGACCGATGTGGAAAGAAGCCATCAAAAGTGAGGTGGACTCTATCCTAAAAAATCACACGTGGGAATTGGTTGATCTCCCTCCGGGATGTAAACCTTTGGGATCCAAGTGGATTTTTAAACGGAAAATGAAACCAGACGGTTCCATTGATAAGTATAAGGCCAGACTTGTAATCAAGGGATACAAGCAACACGAGGGCCATGATTACTTTGACACGTATTCTCCCGTGATGAGAATAAATTCCATTAGGATGATACTAGCGATTGCCGCTTTGCGGAATTTGGAAGTTCATCAAATGGACGTAAAAACCGCTTTTCTAAATGGCGATATAGACGAAGAAATCTATATGGAACAACCCGAGGGTTTTCGTGTTCCAAGCCAAGAAAAGAAGGTTTGTAAATTAATTAAATCATTGTATGGATTGAAACAAGCCCCTAAACAGTGGCACGAAAAGTTCGATCATGCAATGTTAATTAATGGGTTTAAGATAAACGAAAGTGACAAATGCGTCTATGTGAAAAGCACGGTAGACGGCTATGTCATTTTATGTTTATACGTGGATGATATACTCATCGTGGGTAGCAATAATCAAATGATTAATTCTATCAAAAGCATGTTAAATTCTAAGTTTGACATGAAGGATATGGGGCTGGCCGATTTAATCCTTGGGATTAAAATAATTAGAGGACCTGACGGTCTAACGCTAAGCCAATCCCATTACGTTGATAAAATCCTTACTAAATTTAATAAGGATGATTATCAAGAGGCAAGGACGCCATTAGATAAAAACACTCATCTTACCAAAAATCATGGAGAGTGTATTTCTCAAGTAGAATACGCTAGGATTATTGGAAGTTTGATGTATCTAATGAGTTGTACCAGGCCTGATATTGCCTTTGTGGTTAGTAAGCTTAGTAGATATACTAGTAACCCCGATGATGAACACCGGAAGGCAATAGTGAGGGTTTTGAGGTATTTACGCAAAACCCGAAACCTTGGACTGCACTATGGAAGATATCCAGCTGTACTTGAAGGGTATAGCGACGCTAGTTGGATATCTGACATTAAGGACTCAAAATCCACAAGTGGATGGATATGTGTTCACTTTGGGAGGTGCAGCCGTGTCGTGGAAATTCTCGAAACAAACGTTAATAGCTAGATCCACGATGGAATCCGAGCTAATAGCCTTGGATAAGTGCACTGAAGAGGCTGAATGGCTACGCCATTTTCTCGAGGATATTCCAAGTTGGGAGAAGCCTGTCCCTCCAATATGCATACATTGTGATTGTCAAGCGGCAATTGGAAGGGCACAGAGCAATCTCTACAATGGTAAGTCTAGACACGTTCGCCGTAGACATAACACCATTAAACAACTCCTCACAACGGGTGTTATCACTGTTGACTACGTGAAGTCAAAGGATAACGTAGCGGATCCGCTAACCAAGGCATTGGATAGAGAATTGTTGGAGAAGTTATCACGAGGAATGGGACTAAAGCCCGTAAATTGAAAAGTTCTATAATGGATACCCAACATAGTTGGTCCTAGGTTCAAAAGGGACAACTAAATTATAGAGCGAAGGATGGTCACTGTGGGGGTCCCGGACTCCTACCCACTCCTCGTTGAAACAGTGACTCCCGCACGAGGTTAGCAAAAACGTTTTCTTTAATGATTCTAAAATGTTGATCTACTCGATAACATTGGAAGAGTATGCGTGATACTCATGAAAGAATCACCTATGTGAGAGAGAAGAGGGTTGCTTCAAAGGAGAACTGTAATGGCTCAGTTCTTTAGAAACTCTTGCAGAACCGGGACGGTGACCCATGGCCAAAACGGGCACACCCATGAGAACGGAACAAAGTTGGAAGGTTCTTGTGTAAAGATAAGTCAATGTTTACACGACGGCAGTATAGTTCAAGGACATCGAGTCTACTAGACATCCAGTAAATAAACGTGTCTTTACAGCGGAAGGTTCAAAGGATAAAACCTACCGCTCCGTGTGCAGGGATCATCCGGTGAACACAACATGTCCTCCTATCTTCGTGTCTTTTTAAGTCTCGAAAATCAATTTTCATTCATGTGGGGGATTGTTGGAAAAAGTGTGTTAAAAGTGTATTAAATGGTCATTTTGGGGCAATTATTTGAGTGGGGTCCACTTCCGATTTGGATCGGGTCAAAGTGGTTTCGGATTGTCCTTGCTAAGCTTCCGATTTGGGTCAGATCAATTACATTAGTAAATCAGCCGTTAAATTAAATGTGATCGATGTAAACCCTTTTTCATTCACCGTTAACCCTTTCAAGAACCTATGCATAATGAATTCAAAACTTACATTAAAAAATCAACAAAATTGTTGGGAACTAAGTTAAGAGGTATCACTTTCCATGAGTTTCGTCAGTATCTTCAAGTTGTTCCTCACTTTAGCTATGACGTCTCAATTTCCCATAATCCAGTTTTAGGCTTACATCAAAACCACCTTTAGGCTTCTGATTTTTTATCCCTTCACAACTTAGTCATCATCATTATCTTCATCCAGTTCATTCTGTAAGAAAGAAGAGAAATGTTTGAAACTTGAAGACATTTTTTATTAGACGCCACTATACTCTAAGATATTCAAAATCCCTGCATTGAAACTGACTCTAAAAGATTAGAAAGATTTTAACCTCAAAAGCTTTAGTCTGATATTTAAGAAAAAAGTAGCAGGCATATGTTGATTATATGGGTTATAGGTATTACGCATCAACGTAGCGCTAATGTGGGAAGTGATATATTTAAAAAGTGGGGGAAAGAGTCAAACAAATCAGTATAAGAATGCACATGTGATTCCAGTAACACTATTATATTAAAATACATGACTCCGCTACTTTTTATTTTGAGTCAAATGTTGCATGATACTGTTAAAACTATTATATTACTACCTCCGTCCCAACCCAATTTTATGGTCTCAGTTCTTATTCACTTGGTCAACACAAATCATTCTTAATCTCTTACTTTATATATCAAATTTTTATCAAATTTGATTTTGGTTTTTGCGACTTTGTAAAGCTTTTAATGTAGTTTTTGAATATGTATTTTTTTTCTAAATATAAGTTGAGTGCAGACAGAGATCTATTTACTTTATCGTCAGTCAATCATCGTAAACCATAACGAGACCATCAAATTGGGGCGGAGGGAGTATACTATTATAATACTTTTCACGACTGTAGCAGTCTTCAAGCCACAATAATTAGTCAAATTTAGAATCTATTAATATAAACACACATATGAACAATGATCAGTCCTCTATGTTCCTATATTTTAATTTTTCATCCCTTCAAACTATTTATCAAATACTCCGTAATCGATAAGACGGTCTGTATATTGCTCATGAGACAAATGCAACTCTCTAGCTTTGAAAGTACTTTGGAAATTCATTGATCAATAGAAAGAAGGTGAATACCTGTCGATAAAAGAAGATGAATACCTATCAATAAAATAAGATGAACTCGTTTAGAAAGGGATTTGTCATTCTTATTTATACCTTTATCAATATTCTTATTTGTCATTCTTATTTATAATTGACTAGTGGAAAATAAGGATATTTGAAAGGGCGATTGAAAGGATAAAGGTCTAGTAATAGGGGGTTAAAACTATCCTTTTCATTTGTGCTTAGATTAAAAAAATACACTAATATTATTATTAAATATAGATTTAAATACAAAGTATAAGAAAAAGATTAAAGGATGGCACTTTTACGTCTGTGCCTCTAACACCGATCTAATAGTTAAAAGAATATGAATTTGACTTTAATAGTAAGCTGGCACATAATGAATGTGGTTCTGGTCAGGTAATTACAGAGACTCTATGCATTGTTACATAGTAACTCTTCATAGCGGTTGACATGATTCAAACCAGAGACTCATCCTATGTGACACCCTTTTCTACTAGCTGAGTAACGCACACCAGCATTTGCTCTTTTTCAATTGTCCAAAAAAATTGAATCTCCAACCCCAAGCCCCACACTCTGACCCGATATAACATTTGGGAGAATGTAAATAACAATAACTCTACCATTCTTAATTGTGGTAGACATTATACTCTTTCACAGGCATTGTGCATTTTTACATAGTAATCTCTCGACGTAGTTGACGGGATTCAAACATGAGACTCACTCTTTGTGGCACTCCCTATCTATCAGTTGCGCTACACTCACTGACATTTGCTCTTTTTTAATTGTCCAAAAAGTTTGAAACTCCGACCTTAAGTCTCTCACACCCTGACCCAACCTAACATTTGGGAGGATGTAAATCACAATATTTGTATCAATCCAGCACACAGGAATTGTGACCTTCTCACAATCATTGTGAATTTCGATATTTGATTATTGTCCAACTTTCTTATTGTTTTATCGATTGAGTTCTTCGTACCGGCAAATTTAGTCTTTTTCAAGTACAGAGGGAAGGCGGATGAAATAAAACTTTTGCACACGAGAAGAGGAAATGCGGATAAGGAGAGGGTGGAAATTGAAAACAAAAATAATGTTTGTACACACTCTTATACACACTTTTGTATACACCTATGTTTGTGAGAGTTTTTTTTGTCCGTGAACATCGATTCACAGACAACGTTTTGCACAAACAAAATATTGTCTATGAACTCTCAAAAAAAAGTTTCGCAAATATAACGTGTATAAAGTGTGTACAAGAATGCGTACATGAGACGGTTGAATTGAAAATGTGGACATGTGTGCACAAATCCAGAAACGAAAAAAGATCATTTTCGCAATAAATTTCTCATTAATTGCATTCACCAACCCGTTGCTCGTTGTGAGAAGAAACCAGCAGTTCATTGCACTAAATGCTTTCTCTCTCATCCTTGCCGCTAGCTATGTCCTTCAATTTTCTCTTTCTTTCCACCTACAATCCAAACAAACATTTGAAAGACTATTATTATTCCTTAATTTTGAATACCTCGCCCTTGTTCAAAAGTTACAACGCTCACTCTCAAGAACATCCCTTGAGACAATGGATTGAGGGGGAAATTTGGCCCTGGGGAAGCAGCCAGCCCAAATGGGAGTTTTTTGTGTTTCCTAATGGATTCTTGAGAAAGATGAGATTTTAGAGATTGGGTTGTGATTTTCTTCTTTATGATGTCTTTTCTGGTTAGGATTCGGATCTCTTATCAACCCTTAATCAGGTTTTCTTTGCCTTCGTTTACTCCTTTAGTCTTTTCTTGCCTGCCTTGCTTCACCGCTTCTGCCTCCCCATTTTGATCGCACCAACCCCTTGTTTTTTGTTTTTTAAAGCTGAAAGTATGGGGAGCGAGAGGCTGTTTAGTGCCCAGAACAGGAAAGACGAAACTTCAAAGCACTGACCTTTTTGAGTAACTCTCCTTTGATTCACCATTGATTGTGAATTTCATTTCAAAAAGAAAAAAGATATCTTTTTGGTAATGGACGCTCTGGGATGTCATCAGGACCATCAATGCCCTCAATCTCTTGCGAAAAGTGCAGTATTTCTGGTGGCATTCTTGGATTTGTTATTAAGGGTTTCAGGGTTAGGATCAATGTCTTCCATAGCCATCTCCTATGGAGAGTATGGGCCTGTTTTTTGTGGCTTAAAGTCTGATGGATCTCATACTGTCTCATGCTATGGCTCAAATTCTGCAATAATCTATGCCACTCCTCATTCTCCGTTTGTCGGAATAACCGCCGGAAATGACTTCGTCTGTGGGTTATTGATGGACTCAAACCAGCCTTACTGTTGGGGGAATAGCCATTTCATCCAAATGGGGGTCCCACAACCAATGTCCGAACACTCCCAGTACTTGGAGGTGAGTGCAGGGGATCACCATTTGTGTGGTCTGAGAAAGCCATTGACCGGGAAGTACAGAAACACTTCCCTTGTTGACTGCTGGGGGTATAACATGACCCGGACCTTCCAATTCGACGGACAGGTCCAGACATTGTCTGCCGGGTCGGAGTTTTCATGCGGGTTGTTTTCGCAGAACCGAACCGTGTTCTGCTGGGGAGACGAGACCAGCAGCCGGGTTATCAGTTTGATTCCGACCGGTAAGAGGTTTCAGAAAATTGCGGCAGGCGGGTACCACGTTTGTGGGATTCTTGACGGGACGGAATCTCATGTTCTCTGTTGGGGGAGAAGCTTGGACCTTCAAGAAGCCATTGCTGTTTCTCGGTTAGAACCTAAAGAATCTATGTTGACGGTGGTCGGCGGGAGATTCCACGCGTGTGGGATTAAGAGCGAAGATCGGGGAATAATTTGTTGGGGATATCGCGTTGAGAAATCCACGCCGCCTCCTACCGGCGTTAAGCTGTACGAAATTGCTGCCGGCGATTACTTCACTTGCGGAATCTTAGCAGAGAAGTCTCTTCAGCCTGTTTGTTGGGGAGTCGGTTTTCCTACTTCTCTTCCGCTGGCCGTTTCTCCCGGACTCTGCAGGACCCGCCCATGTGCCCCTGGGTTTTACGGGTTTAATAACGGAAGTAATGGCTCCTCTTGCAAGTCTGAAGATAACGGAATATGCCTTTCCTGCTCCATTGGATGCCCAGTTGAGATGTACCAATATGCAAACTGTTCTCCGTCCTCCGACCGAATGTGTGCTTACAACTGCTCATCTTGCATCTCGTCTGATTGCTCTTCAAATTGCTCTGGCGGATTGAATGGTGAAAATTCAAAGGAGTTTTGGTCACTGCAGTTGCCTGTTATTCTTGCGGAGGTCACTTTTGCAGTGTTTCTGGTTAGCATTGTGTCAATCATTTCGGTCATGTATGTCCGATACCGGTTGAGGAACTGTACTTGTTCGGGCGAGTCGTTGGGTGTTAACAAAAGAAATTCCACATTCCAGAAGGAAAGCGGGAAAGTTATACCGGATGATCTGCGGATCAGGAGAGCTCAAATGTTTAGTTATGAGGAGCTTGAGCGAGCGACTGGTGGGTTCAAAGAAGAATCACAAGTGGGGAAAGGGAGTTTCTCGTGCGTCTTTAAAGGGGTTTTGAAGGACGGGACAGTCGTTGCGGTCAAACGAGCAGTTGTTTCACCGGACATGAAGAAGAACTCGAAGGAGTTCCATACAGAGCTTGACTTGTTGTCCAGACTGAACCATGCACATTTGCTCAATTTGCTTGGATATTGTGAAGAAGGGGAGGAGAGACTTCTGGTGTACGAGTACATGGCCAATGGCTCCTTGCATGAGCACCTGCATGGGAAGAACAAGACTCAAAGAGAGCATATGGATTGGGTGAGACGGGTGACCATCGCGGTACAAGCTGCCCGTGGGATTGAGTACCTTCACGGGTACGCATGCCCGCCCGTGATCCACCGTGATATAAAGTCGTCAAACATTCTCATAGATGAAGAACACAATGCCAGGGTTGCAGATTTTGGGCTCTCCTTGCTGGGGCCTGCAAACAGCAGCTCCCCCTTAGCCGAGCTACCTGCGGGCACCCTCGGGTACCTAGACCCTGAGTACTACCGCCTCCACTACTTGACGACCAAATCTGACGTCTATAGCTTCGGCGTTCTGCTATTGGAGATTTTAAGTGGGAGGAAGGCGATCGACATGCAATACGAAGAAGGGAACATAGTAGAATGGGCAGTTCCGCTGATCAAAGCGGGTGAGGTGGAAGCCATATTAGATCCCATACTAAAAACCCCTCCTGAAGTTGAAGCTCTAAGAAGGATAGCGAACGTGGCTTGTAAATGTGTGAGGATGAGAGGGAAGGAGAGGCCGTCAATGGACAAAGTGACAACATCACTAGAGCGAGCACTCGCTATGTTAATGGGCAGCCCGAGTAACGGGCAGCCGATCTTGCCAACCGAGGTGGTCCTGGGAAGCAGCAGGATGCACAAGAAGGCGTCTCAGCGGTCTTCAAACCGGTCGGAGACAGATGTGGGTGGAGAAACCGAGGACCCTAGGTCTGAGTTCAGGGCGCCTTCTTGGATCACATTCCCAAGCGTTGCGTCTTCCCAAAGGAGGAGGTCGTCGATCTCTGATGGAGATGTTGAGGGGAAGAATGTAGCGAATGGGACTGGATTGGGTGATGCATTGAGGAGCTTGGATGAAGAGATCGGGCCGGCTTCCCCTCAAGAAAACTTGTTCTTACAGCACAACTTCTGATCTAATAATAAACAACAAAGATTTATACAAGAGCAGTAGCCAAGAAAGAATTAGAAGAGTTTGTTGGGCAGCAGATGTGTATTTTCTATGTTTTATTCTTCTGCTATTTCATTTTTGTTCATTCTATTAATTTCAGGCAATCAGCGGCTTCAGGACTAGTTCTATGAATGTTGTTGGGAAGACTGCAACTTTTGATCATGTATCTAGTAATTGTATTTAGAGTTGTACTTGGATATATTCTTTTCTCTCGTGAACTTACTAGCTTAGCCATCCATTCTAGGATTAATTCTGTCAAAAGTCTGCTTAATCACACTTAATCTAGTGTTTTACGAAGAGCTACCATCTTCAACTATGTGTTGCTTATTTTTCTAGCCCGGTCTGTTTAGAACTAATCTAGTTTGAACATTTTTTGGTCTGATTTAATGAAACACCTTAAACACTACACCAGTACACACTCTTTAAAATACGGAGTATTCTTGATACACGGTTCCATAGGCAAAATTGGTCATTTTCATGGGTGTTGCATTTCATGGGTTCATGGAGTCATGAGTAAGTATACCCAATCGGTATACAACTGTGTGGTTGTGAGTTATGTACTTATGTTATTTATATGAAGTAATAGTGATATTCGACAAAATAATGTTAAGGGTGTTTGAAGTTCATTCTGTTGCTGTTTTTTATATTCCGAATATGTATATAAATAGAATTGGAATCAGTTTTTTCAGATATTTTCCCCCTCATCATCTAAAAAACTGCATACAAGAGCAATTTGAAACACTTAGAAGTACTTTTACATTTTCACTCAAATACTTTAATATATGCTTTTGCTCCGTGACTAATTAAGATTGCTTTCAAGAAATAGATTCTGACACCCCGTCAGTGACTATAATTATGTTTGAATTTTACACCACAATGACTATACATGCATACTCTTATTTTTTACTCCCTCCGTCCTGCAAAGAACTTCTCGCTTTCCTTTTTAGCAGTCCCAAAAAGAAGTTCTCATTTCCCTAAATGGGAAGTTATCTACATCAAAACAATGTCAAACAGTGCAAAATAGTGTCAAACAGTGCCAAACTGTGTCGAAACAGTGTCAAAACAGTAAAATTTACTCCCTGATAAGTTTATTTCCTTAATATGTATGTAGGTCAAACCGGGAAGTTCTTTGCGGGACGGAGGGAGTATTTCGATACTCCTTCTGTTCCCCTATCTTTGTCTTATTTTAACTTTTAAATCTATCCCGCCAAGTTTGTTGCATATCGTGTTTGATAATCTTTGAGTGATTACAATTCAGTTTTAATTTATTGATATTTTTCTAATTCAATATCCACCATATAATTTCACTTTTCTTATATCATCACAGGTCTCTCTTTTTTCGGAATAAAAATAGTACTCCCTCCGTCCCGGAATAATGGTCTTGCTTTCCTTTTCGGTCTGTCCCAAAATAATTGTCCTACTTTGAAACTTTTCCAAAATAAGTCAACTTCATTTTCTTAATATGTGTGAATGTCAAAGTAGGACAAATATTTCGGGACAGATTACGGAGGGAGTAATAGTTTAGGAAAATTTTGATATTTGAAGCACAAGCCCATACCATGACACAGCACACAAGTTGTGCTTGGTCAAAACCATCGATTATCATCAATAAGAAGATGGTATCCGGCTTTGAGTATAACATTATTAAATACGTAGTCGGTATTACGTATTTCTTGGTAATGAAGTTTATACTTCACATATATTAAGGAAATAAACTTGACTTTAAAGTAGAGTGCACTGTTTGATACTGTTTGACATTGTTTGCATTGTTTGGTGTAGATTTGTTTGCCAAATAAGGCAAATAAGGAAGTGTAAAGTTTAATATGGGATGACCCAAAAAGGAAAGTGTAGAGTTAATTAAGAATCAGAGGGAGACTGTGTATTAGTGCCCCATATTTTGAATTTCTTTTGTAATTTTTTTCTTTTCGTTGCTTACAATCATAAACTTTTTTTTGAACGAAAACTTGTCTCTATTCATATCAAAAGTTTCAGGATCATAACATCAATCAAAGAAAAAACAAATCTGACACCAACTAAACTCCAACAACTACGACTGTAAACCATATGATCAGACTTAGAGACGGTCACCCCCGAAAGAGCAACACGAATCGCTAACCATGCAGCGGGCTTGACATAGTCATCCCTATTCCCATACATCCAAACATATCCAATAATAAGAAGAAACCAAATGAAAAAATAATAATAAGGAAAAAGGGGCAAATAAGCCCATGTACTAATCAAAAAAGGTCAAATAAGCCCTTATAAAGGAGGCTTTGTCCGACCATCGTCATTTGGGGCGGTTCCCGGTGAAAATTTTTGATACAATTTTTTTGAGCATATTAATCAATAAGTCTAGTTTACTCATACCAAATTTCAGCAAAAACATCAATCAGGAAGGCATTCAAATGAATTCTTGAATATAACTGTGCAGTTAAAAGCGCAGTTATCTTCAATAATTTATTTGAATGTCTTCCCAATTGAATTGTTAGCTGAAATTTGGTTTGAGTAAACTAGACTTAATTAATAAGATTCTCAAAAAAAATCATCAAGAAAGTCCACCGGGAACTACCCCAAATGGCGACGGACGGACAGAGTCTCCTATATAAGGGCTTATTTGACCTTTTTTGTTAGTACGTGTGCTTATTTGCCCCCTTTTCCTAATAATAACTAATACGAAAACTTTCACGGACTCTAGTACCTCGTACAACTCATGGCGGTGGTTAAGGAGGAGACCGTATCATTGGTACCACTCTAATTGATCCTCCATTGTCGATCGAAATATGGCTTATTCGAAACTCGTGCAACTGATCTTCTCGTCCCACGTACTTGTCGAGTAGGCTCTCCACCGGTTCCCTTTCGTGCTCATGTTCTTCCCTGTGCATCTTCAAAGCCTGTGCTTACAATCATAAACTTCATATGGCCTTTTACCACATTATTATTACATAAATGGAGAAAACCAATGCCAATAACTTGTGTGCTCGCTCAGCCAAGGATCATGTACACGTTGTTGCAAAGCTTCTTTTACATTTTTACAAGAAATCTCCTTTGAAATGATTATTTTTGTATATATTTAAGAGAACGAATAGTGAAGCGAACCATTAGTACGTTGTTTACACTATAAGCTTAGTGCTAACTATAACTATTAAAACCATAACAAACACACAATGGAAAGATAATTATGTGAAAAGTTGCAAACTCAAGAGCCATAATATTTTTCAGTAGTTTTTTTCTCGAATATGTGAATTTTTCATATCTCAACTGATATGGCCATATGGGTAGACTGTAGTGGAAATTGTGGAATATTGGAGGAAAATCAAAAGGACAAAAGGGTGATTATATGTGTAATGTGTCTTAGATGATTATGAAGGTTCAACTATGATATTTGGATACGTTGGGGTATTGGATCAAGTAGAGGGCGAGCCCATATACCCCCAACGAACCAGGCGGCACAACAGCCCAAGGGGCAAACCCAACCCATTCAACTCTACCAATGGCATAGCTCGAGCAGCATGGGCCATACCGCATACGACATGGTCCAAGCGAGTCATAAGACTTGGTAAGTGATAGAGTATATGGGTCTAGACCCCAGTGGGCCCTCCATCGGCCAGATGGCATCCCATCGACCAAAGAAGAGTCAACCCGGAATACGCTCCAGAAGTCAAGGAGAAGACTTGTCCTCCGTCGGCCAGTGCCCCCGTCGGCCAGAGGTCTCCGTCGGCCGAGCGTCCCCGTCCTTGCAAGGTCTCCATCGGTCGAGCGTCCCCATCGTGGCAAGGTCTCCATCGGCAGAGCGTCCCCATCCTGGAAAGGTCTCCATCGGCTGAGCGTCCCCATCCTGGCAAGGTCTCCATCAGCCGAGCGTCCCCATCCTGGCAAGGCCTCCATCGGCCGAGCGTCTCCGTTGGCCAGAAGGAACTCACAGAACTAGACTTATAATGTAATCAGCCCAATAGAGGCTTTATATTGTAATGGGCCTCCCAAGCCCAAGACTTGGGAGCCCAGCCCATATTTTCCCTATAAATACTCCCCATGGGAGCCATGTAAAGGGTGGGAAAATCATTAATACAAATACATTTATTGCAAAACTTATTGCATTTCTCTCTCTAGCTCTCACTTCTCTCTAGAAGTTAATACTTTATCATTTGGTGCTTTCATTGAGAGCTAGAACAATCAAGTTAGCATCCTTCGTCGCTACCAAGCATAGCTAATTGACTATGGAAGAACAAGGTCAAACCGTAACCTCATCGGCAAGGCGATCCCCGAAACGCAGGAGGATCGGGAGCGCTTTGGCGACGCATCGGCCGACAAGGCAGGGGATGAGGAGATCTTCCAGGACTCTATCGACCCCACAGCAGACCTTCGCAATCAGCTTAACGGCAACGCTCAAGACGCCCGTATCGGCCTTGAGAAGAAGCGCATGGACAAAGGTGACCATGTATCGGGGCAGCAGGATACTCCCACTGTTGATCGTCAGCTCCAGGCCGCCCTATCGACCATCATAGACAGCTTGGCTCAGAACCCCACCGTCCTCAGCGCACTCATGCCAAGGATGGGGGAGGACATTACTCCACCGCCTCTCCCACCCCAGCCGTTGGTCATGAAGATTGGCAACATCGAGAGGGTTGAGCCCCAGGACACGTCTTCGTCCCATTCCAACCCTGCTTCTCGTCCCTGAGTTGGACCGACCCCAGTGCGTAGAGCCTCGGCCTTCAATAGGCTAAGGGACGTGCATCGTCGGCCAGCATCGAAGAGGCTAGTGGAACGGATTGGTGAACATGAGCCTGGCTTACCAAGGGAGAGCTTGGGGTCTGTATCCCATACAGCGGATCGGCCCCGCCTTGACAAAGGCAAGGGGAAGCTACATGAGGACGACGCACGTCATCACATCAACACCGCCCATGCAGCCCATGCCAGAACTTAGCAGGGCACCACTACGACCGCCAAGGACCCCTGGGACGAGGTCATCGCCCAGTTGGAAAGGAGGTTTGCCCAGATGGAGGCCAAGCACCTGGCCGCTACCCCTACGGCCAACACGTCCAGGGATCCCGGCTTCAACGTACTCTTGCACAAGGTCAGCGCCTTAGAGAGGGAGCTAGTCGAGGGACGTAGTGACCCCATCATCCAAATCAGAACAAAAACTCCCTTCACCACGAGGGTGCTCTCGGCCCCAATACCCGAGAAGTACCGGGGAATGCCATCAAGACCTATGACAGCCGCACCGACCCCCAGGAGCATTTCAGCCGCTATCAGAACAACATGCTGATGGTAAATGCGTCTGATGAATACCTCTGCCGTTGGTTCCTTTCCACTCTTGAGGGACCAACGCACTGCT